TGACACCTCCGGGAGTCGCGTTGGGATTCTGCGGAGTGCTGATAAATGCTTAGTTTTGCATATGATGATTGCATAAAAGTGGCGTGCTGATAGGGGAAGCAGGTTATAACTAGCCCAGTGTTTCAGAGAATGTTTTCCTTGCCACTGGCTTAGGAGTTTCCACCAATGGCACATTTATTTCGTCAACAACAAACTCTGGAGCACGTGTAAAATGCGTGAGTACAATATGATGTGGGGTTTGTTTACCAAAGTGACTATCGACTTTCCTCTTCCTCGGATGGGTGCTTCCTGGTTTTCTCTAGAAAGGATGCAGAGGAATTTCAAAGTCAGGCATTTAACTTTGCCTTCTCATATGGGGGCGCTAAGGGGAAACGGGGAAAACTAATAAAGTCAAAATTTTGAGTAGGCAAAGTTATCTTCTGCATTTTGAGTGCTGTTTGGTCACTAACGGATCACTAGTGGCTTGAAAGATACCACCATGGTATCTTTTGGTATCGTGAACTTGTGGTTTACAGTGGCAATTTTGTTTGGCTCAGAGCTCTTGGTTTTTGTTTTTACTTTAAAATGACTCTAGTGTGATTAAGGGGTGAATTTGGCCTTGTTCCCAAGTATGTCATTAAACTTTCACAAGAAAATGTTTTAATACAATAATTCCTGCTATTGACAACCTAGTTTTTGCTAAGGATGTCTCTTGCTAAAACAGCAAGATTAAATCAGTGAGTTTAAAATGCATTACTGAAATAACAGGGCTTTTTAGTTTAACTTTAGATGAAACTGCTTGCCAAAGGAGATTCTACAGCTGTTCTGCTTAGCATCTTGAGATGGGAGTGGAGGAGGAAGCAGGTTGCTTTCTGGGAATCAAACAATTGAATAGGACCTGCTGGGGGAGAAGCTTGAAGGTGGTTGCTGAACAGGCATTGGTATTTTTTGCTTTCTGTTGCCTGAAAGACTCTTCTATATTTACTCTTTGCTTATGGCAATTAGTATAGTGGTTCTGCATGGAATCAATGCATCTTCCTTGAACATGTCAAAATTTCCACTGTTTCTTAGAGAGGTTCTTCTCATAAACCTAGAGTTAAGAAACAGATTTTTTTTTAATGATAGCAACAACAGGTTATATAGGATAGGTTTTTGCAGGTCCTACGTTAATTAGACCCTGTGACTTGCTTAGGCTTGCTTAGGTTGTCTTAGTTCTAAGATGGGAGATGTGAGTAATGGAGATAAGAAAGTATCCTCATTGCTGCTGTACAGTGTGGTTGGAAGGTCAGGAGTTGGAAGGTCATTCAGGCTATCTTGTCCCTTGCCTACTCTTCCTTGCCCTGTCATGTGGTGATGCTACCACTTGCCAAATAACTCCCTCTGTGTTTCTCCCTGCCTTATGGCCTCCACTTACTGCTGTTCCCACTGTGTTTGGTTTCAGGATCTGTGAATGCTTGTGAAAAGACCTCATTTATGTTTCTGCGGCAAGAGTTGCCTGTGAGATTGGCAAATATAATGAAAGAAATAAGTCTTCTTCCAGATAATCTTCTCAGGACACCATCAGTTCAATTGGTGCAAAGCTGGTAAGATTCCCTGTCTTGTGTTTGCAATTTCGATAGAGTTGTAGACTTTACCCGAAGTTAAAGCAAATACTTTTTTACTCTTCAGTGGAATCTTAAGGTAGTGGCAGCATTCCTCCTCCTTTGTTTGGATGTATCTGGGTTTATCCCCTGAATCCTGGACTGTACTACTTTTTGGTTTTGAAAAAAACAATCAGAACTGCACAGAAATACAAACACTGTATTTCAGATTTGTGTTATTAAATCTGCAAGGATGTTATTTTATAATGTAATAAAAATATCTACCGTATGTTGATAGTTAAGGATTTATGTACATTACCTTTAATCCCTTCAATAACCCTGCCCAGTAGGCATGATTACCTCCATTTTATAGATGAGAAAACTGAGGCACCTACAGATTAAGTCCTTTGCCCAAGGCAGTACCAGTTGTGGTGGAGCTGGGATTCAAACTCAGATTTGTTTGTTTCTACTGCCCCATGCTGTGGTCAGATTAATAAAATGTATTAAAGGGTGTAAATATTTTTTATAAACTGAATTTATTTTATTGAAGTATATTTTTATAAATCACAAAAGTTAAAATCTTCTACCATTTAAAAACAATTAGAAGTTATTAGAATTGTGTAGAAACTATGATCTCTCTCTTAAAAAATGACAGTAGAGATATTAAAAGTGTGCACACATATGTGGCCACCTGTGTACAGCCTTTCTTGTTAATGTTATTAAAAGTGTTATTCTCTTAAGCACTATACATTTCAAACAAAAGAGCTTGCCAGATTTCAGTCTGAAATGGAAAAAATTGAGCTGCAAGACATTTCCCAATTATGATTTGTGGAGATCCTAGCTTTCCTGTTGTAGGCATTATAGTTTTGGGAGAAGCTGATCTAATGTCAATTTTTTAAAATAAGTGAAAGAAGTATGACTGCTACATAAATGATAATCAGATGCCATTTAGTCCAAGAATGTAACAGTTAGAAATGTGGTTTAAGTAAGAGAAACTCTGATGGAAGGGGTACATACAATTTTCTATGGAGGCTTATTCCTGTTTTGTTTTGTTTTTAATTCATTAAAAATAGAATATGCTGCGTTTTGAAATCTTATCTGTGCCTAACACATTGTAAGTGTTGATAATTTGATGCCCAAAACTCGGCCTCTGTGCACTGGTGCCGAATCAAATCTTGAAGACAAGAGTTTTGGGAGAAGTAGGAAAGAATAGCTTATTGCTTTGCCAGGCAAAGGGGGACACAGTGGGCTCATGCCCTGAAAAACTGTGTCTCAACCCAGGGAGATTTGGTGATTATAGCAGTGGTTCAAGGGCAGGGTTTGCTGATAAGGATCAGGATATGTGCAGGGCCTGCAGTCCTTTAATCGGGCCTCAGGTGGTCTCCTGATGAGCTTCCTGAGGTTATCAAACTGTGACCTTCTCTGGATTAAAGAATGCTAACATATTCCATTTGTTGGGGGTTTTAGTTCTGTAAAAAAGCTCAAAGGTATTATGATGTGTATCCCTTGAGGTGGAACCAGGACCCTGCCCCAAGGCTGCACTGTTGTTTCTTGGCTGCTCCTCCCTTGTCTCTGCATCCCCCTCCCTTCCCTGATTGCCAACTGTTTGGACCTGCCCTTTGGAACTCAGGGAAGGTCATGGAGGCTGGAGTCTATTCCCTACAAACAAGAAACAGGGGACACGGAAAGGCTTCCATGCCCAGGAGCCCCACAGGGTCCTGCTTGGTTTCAGTATCTCTTGAATAAAGAGCGTAATTGTTCTTGCCAATAAAGAGAAAAGTAAGTGTTAAGTCATAACAGTAGACATCAGAATCACTTGACTTTGGAATGTGTTGGCATGCAGTAAGGCATATTGCTTGTCAGAAACAACTTTCCAAACCAACATGTGGATTTACAGATTTTTAAAACACTTTCATTGCCCCTGGATGCCTGCTAAGTTATGGCAGTTTTAGATCAAGCCAAAGCAGACCTTACACTACTGATGGTCATTGAATGATAGGTGTTTTGGCTCTGGCGCTGCACTGCCACTGTGCTCCTCAGCATGACCTTCAGAGAGTCATTTGGCTTCCCTCATTTTGCTCCTTTACCAGGTGATTTGCTCCCTTGAATTGTTAGGTAAATTAAAAACCTGCATTTTCATGACTTCTGTGTTTTTGTTCAGTTGTTTAAAAGAACCATGTGTTAGATCGTAAACTTTCAATAAACATCTGTTGACTGGACACAAACATCTAAAATTAAGTTTTTAAAGCAGAGGCATTTAAGTTAGACTCTTAGACCAAGGTAGGCTGGCATCCACAGTTTACTGAGGCCAAGATAAGTTAAGTCATTTGCCCAATATCACATAGCTATTGGTGACAGATGCAGTTCTCAAGGGTCAGTATTTATACTGTAAGGTACAGTGGTAATTTTAAGAAATTTAAAAACTATCTTAGAGTATAGAACTTTAAAAAAAAAAAAAGAAGTAGGAAATCTTAAAATTCTTAAATCAAATTTAACCTAAGCTTTTAGGAGAAAACATGTACCTTCTTCTAATTATTGTCAGGCACTTTGCTTGAACGTGCATGGGTATAAAAATCCTACTTCAACCATAATTTGTTTAAAATTAATTAAAAGTTAAGAAATGTTAAAAATGCCTTTTGAACATTTTCACAATATTAAAGTTTCAAAATGTAAAGAACAGCTTTACGAGGGGTTGATTTGCATTTTAGGTATATCCAGAGTCTTCAGGAGCTTCTTGATTTTAAGGACAAAAGTGCTGAAGATGCTAAAACTATTTATGAGTAAGTACACAGTTTTGACCCTATTCTGAACACAATTTTTATACTGTTTGAACATCATATAAAAAATGTAAAGGTATTGAGCTTATACCTGCTGTTGGGTCACTTTAGGAAAATTAACTTTTAGTTTCCCACTACTCTAGAACACATGGTGGTATATGTGTCTATAGCAGCCCATATAGGCCAATCAGGTAACATAAGTTCGTAAATTGGGCTGGGCATAAGAAAATCTTCATGTTCCTCTTAACTCTAGTGTAAAGAAAGATACAATTCAAATGGGATGACCAATATGGAAATGTAGATGTGGCCTCAGTAGCACTTGGATGATAGGGGGCTGGTGAATACTCTTGACCTGGAGAGTGCATGCTTCTAAAGGACAGCCATCTCAGCTCCGCTGATCATTGCTGAGCAGAAACACTGCCCAGATCATCTGATCTGTGTGTGTGTGTGTGTGTAAGAAAAACTGCAAGTCTAGTTTTTTTAAAAGTAAAATCTCCTAATTTTGAAAGATTGGAAACTAACTAAATTTTTAACAAACACTGAAGGCCTACAAAAACTTGTCTATGGGTCTCTAGTTTATGACCAGTGGTCTGTGAGACAGTGTAAGTAATGTGACCTGTTTAATAATCAGCGTACCAGGACTAATAAGCCCCATAGTCCCCTAAGGCAAGTTACCTGCTTATTCCAGTGAATGTTGCTCAGAACTTAAAGACTACCTCTTTTGTTGTCCTTCGCGTGCATTTAACACATTTTTTATTTACTGTCTTTAAAGGTGATAGCAACATTTCACTTTTTAAACATGATTTTGGTCTGAAAATAAGATCAAGAATTTACTCTGTGTCTGGGTATGCAGCATAGTTTACACAGATGATGTCATTTAATCTTTAAAATAACTCTACTGAGGTAATACTATCTGTGCACAAAGAGGTTAAGTAACATAAGGTCACAGAGATAGCAAATGGATTTGGACCCACTCAGTCTTACTTAAAAGTAAACATTATGCTGTAGAACCTTCTGGGAAAAGTTATTCAGAGCTGAATTTTAAAAAATAAGGTGAGCAGCCAGGCAGAATACTGCAGATTTTGGTTTTGACAAGATAGAGAGATATGAAATAAATGATTAAGGAGTGACTGGAAATGATGGTTGATTGTTGTTTTTGAGGAGTTTTGTTGTTTGTATTTTGGATTAACAGTTTGGTTTCGAAACTAATTACAAGCTAGGAATTCCAAAAATGTTTTGAGTAGTGAGAGCATCATTGGAATAGGTTAATAGCATTCAAGATGATGACTTTGAATGAGAAAGCACTCATTCGGAAGTGTAAATTCTTACAGGTATATTACAAGATGGATTTTGTTACTTCATAACTAAGACTTCTTTCCTCTTTTATTTAGTTCTTTAAATTAACCATACAATAATGTCTTCCGAATGATAGAAATGGGAAGCCTGGATGGCTTGAAGATTTTTCTTTGAACACAACATTTACCTTTTCTTCTCCCATTTTTTTTAAACTCATTGGATGAATGGACTTAGAATTCTTTTCTACTTTTCTAAGTGGCCCTTTCTCTTTTTGAACCTGGAGAATAGTTCCAAAACAGACAGCCTTTATTGGCTCATTCATCTTCCTTCCTTACAGAGCATGTGTTCCCTAGAAGCAAGTGCTCTGTCTTCCCTTATGCTGAATGTCCCAGGATCCATCCTCATAGCAAGTGCTCAGATAATCTTAGTTAATAATGGTTAAAGAAAACCCTTCACATTTGTAGGATTGTGTTTTGTGGCCGTGTTACTTTTAGGAGTTCCAAGAAAATAATTACATCTCACAAGTTCTATTTTGGAATTTCTTAACATCTCCATAGATGTGGTATATTTTATCATCTGAAATACATTTAAATAAGTGTAAGAAAACATGCACCGATGCTTCTTTTACTGAATTAGGGCTTCCTTGCCTAGTGTTAGTGAGTAAACTTAGATTTTAGTATCCCATTCACTTGCCAAAATATTTGGCTGTTTTAACAGACAGGTTTGTTTAGCTTTACAGATACTGTGATACGGATCAGGAACCGACACAATGACGTGATTCCCACGATGGCTCAGGGTGTGATTGAATACAAGGAGAGCTTCGGGGTGGATCCTGTCACCAGCCAGAATGTTCAGTACTTTTTGGATCGTTTCTACATGAGTCGCATTTCAATTAGAATGTTACTCAATCAGCACTGTAAGTGTCTGGAAGTCAAGAGAAGAAGCTAAATAAGATGTGTTGGTATATTTTAAATTTATTTAGAAAACTTCCTTTTAGGGAGAACATTTAATTTTACTTTTTCACGTATTAAGAAAAGCAAATAGACGGCCATACAAAGGAGCTTTTATTAAATTGAGTTTTTATGTTTAACATTATGTAAAATACTATGTTTATGTTTAAGGAAAATATTTGTTCTGCTGTTTGCTACCCATTAGAGAAACAGTATTCAAATCCGGACAGGGGCATTAGGTATTTTAGCTTATTTTATTTGTTTTTTTATTTTTTGATAGCTTTATTATTTGGTGGAAAAGGCAAAGGAAGCCTGTCTCATCGAAAACACATTGGAAGCATAAATCCAAACTGCAATGTGGTTGAAGTTATTAAAGGTAAGTACCTTTCTCCTTTCAGAAAAAATGAAAAAATCAAAATTGAGTATTATTTCTTGCTATTAAAATAATTATTTATATCATGAGATAAAATGTTAGGAGTGAACATATGGGTTTGAATATAACTTTATAATGCTAACTGTGCACTATGAATAGGATGAATGTTTTGTTGATACAGTGTTTTGTTAGAGTGTGGTGATATTATGAGGCTATCTGTTGACTTCAAAATATTTCCTCCTCCCCCCTTTCTGATTCCCTATATTGGAGCCATAATTCATAATAGTTTGGTTTGCATCTTTCCACACTTTGTTGTGTTTGTACCGTGTATACTCGCACACATACATAACTGTTGGTCTTATATTGTTTGTTGTTTTTGGAAAATGGGGTACTTCGTGTATATTTTCCTACAAGTTTACAGACATTGTACCATGTGCAGTACATATGGATATACACCAGGTTATTGAATGGCCGTTACGGATGTATCAGAATGTATTAATCTATCTCCTATTGATGCCTATTTCGGTTGTTTTAAATTTTCTATCACCAACAGTACTGCAGTGGACATCCTTAGATATGTGCTGACTTTTGCTAGTATTTAGAAGGCAAGATTCCTAGAATCAAAAATATTTAAAGTGCATTTCAAATTTTGATACCTCCAAAAATGTATCAATGAATGAGAGTGGCTATTCCCTAAACCCTTACCAACTCTAAATATTTGTTGTCTGTATTGTAAATATTTTCTTCAGCCTTCTGGTTTTCTTTTTACTTTGTTTATGGTGTCTTTTCCCATACAGATATTTTAATTTTTTGTGATCATATCTGTCATTTTTTCCTTTCTGGCCTTTAGGCTTTGTCATATCGTACTTAAAAAAGACCTTCCCCAAACTAAGATTATTAAAGTATATTTTTTTCTATAGAAAGTTTTAAAATTTCTTTTGTCTATATACTATTGCCATCTTAATGCATGAAACAGAAGTAAATTTATTTAATGACTTTTTTGTTTTGATTCACACTAGATGGCTATGAAAATGCTAGGCGTCTGTGTGATTTGTATTATATTAACTCTCCCGAACTAGAACTTGAAGAACTAAATGGTAAGCCTGATGCCTTTTCCTTAATGATTAGTGTTATGATTACCAGAGAAGGAATGATAAGAAGAATTTAGATTTGTTTTAATTAAAAGAACTTTTCATCAACTTCTTCATTGGATATGAAAGCTGAGGGAGAGCAAATCATGTTAAAAAATATATGTATTTATCTGTATGTGTACATATATATATTTTTTTTAATTTAGATGGATCCTTTCTGAAAGACATTTTGGCTTTTTCTTCCCCGTTTTCCTTATTTTTAATTGATAATATTGATTCTTTGCTTATTTTTGATTTTCTGGTTAGTCATAGAAAAAAGTGATGCTGAGAAAATTACATCTGACTTTTATATGTACTTCAATAATGTATGGTTTACCCTTTAAGATTTCTATTTCCTGAGTTATAAACCATTTTTTATTGTTGAGGAAGTAAAAAGACTGGAGATGTAAAAGAGGAAAGAAGGATGCTTATCTATATGAGAATCTGATTATTTTTGGTGGTCGTCTTTTTACCCTGACTAGTTCCTTTTGGACACAAAAGGTTTAGATGCCTTGGAAGGAGATTGATGAGTCTCCCTGTTTTTCCTTGAGGTAGGGTAGTTTGATAGAGCGACAAACATTTCCTTAGTTAAAGTCACCCTTTAAGAGGAATAAAATTAAATAGGCTTTACTGAGTTGTATTCTGGACCTTAGAGTGGGAGGGCAGTGGGGGAAGTTGCCCCATTGAAAATAGAATTGCCTGGTTTTCTAAAGCCATATGGTACCATTCAGGAAATAAGAACCACAATGCACAAGTGATAGTTTGGGAACCTGAACTGCTGTGGGCATTTTCCAGATGTACTGTCCATGTTTCCAAGGGACAGTATTCAGTGGAGAGTCCAGTTTATTGGCTGAATTAGAATTCTAAGGTATGGAGACTCTTACTCCTTTACTAAAAGTTCTGCTTTACTTATTATCTGCCCTCTACCCCCAGCTGGGCTCCTGTTAAATGTTTGAATGTAGAATTAGTAGTCCTTGATAAACTGATGCTAGCTCAAAGTTTTTATTCAGATCTATATACGTTGAAGTGCCTAAAATAAAACAAAACGTTCCACCTGGGTGAAACAATTAAAAAACGGCTTTTTAAAGAAATAATGTATTTATGTGGGTTGGACCAAGTAGACTTTAACACTTCTTTTCGGAAGGTAAAATTCCGACCTTAAGGCTGAGTGTCTTAAACAGACTCACCGTTGTAGACAAGAATGGGAAGATGGGTTGGTAGATCATTATGCAGGATTGCAAGAGTGAGTGCAGGACTCATGTTGTCACAGTCAGTTATAAATTTGTGTGAGCATTGGGTTCAAACACTGATTCAGTGAAGAACTGGTGTGGCCCTTCTCCCCCAAATAGTACTATCCTCCATATAGTAAATGTTTTCTTTTCATCACTACACAATATATTCTTTAAAATGCTCTAAGCACATCTCTCTGTACTTTCATATTTTTCTCTTCTGCTCTGTAGCTAAATCACCAGGACAGCCAATACAAGTGGTTTATGTACCATCCCATCTCTATCACATGGTGTTTGAACTTTTCAAGGTTTGTAAAATAGTATTACGTCACCTTTATCAGTCCTTTTCTAAGGTTAGGAATCTGCTTTGAAAGTTTAAATACTGTACTGCATTTTCCTCAGTTTCATTAAAAGATACCCTTTCATGTTCGGTGTCATGTCACATCACTGGAGATCAGCTGTTTGTCAACACTCACGGGCCCCTCAGTTTAGTGGTAAGCTCAGACCTGGGACTCAGAAAGACCTGGATTTGAATTCCAATTCTGCCACGTAATATGTGTGTGACCTTGGGCAAGTCACTCAGCCTTTCTGAGCCTCAGTTTACTCCTCTGTAAAACAAGGATAATACTATCTAGGTTACTGTGAAGAGAATAACATACTAAATTCTAATACAATGGCAGCACACTATAGGTGCTCAATAAAGTTTTATTTATATTTTTACAAAACAATATTTAGAAGAATGATTCTCAGCTTTCACCTCTAAAGGACCAGTCCCACTGTTACAAGCATTTTTTTTTTTTTTGAGAAAGTCATTTATATTGACTTACAGGACTTCTGCTGTTGTTTTTGCTCTTTACAGCAAAATTTGAAAACTAAATACAATTATGCTAATAATATTGAGAGTACATTTTTTCTCATCAACACACCAATGACACTTGCTGGTAGACAGGAAAGTGAGTGATGAGGAGTGGTACGGGTCCACGTGGCTGAAAATGACATCCCAGATCAAGCCTGTAGTCTCTCTCAGTGTGGTTACCATGTCTTCAGCCAAGAGCCTGTGGAAGAGAGAAGAGGTGGCTTTCAGCCTGATCATGAAAAAGAAAAATACAGTGAAACACAGAAAAACTGGTTGACTGTCTTAGAATAGCAAACATTGAAGAATGTTCTTGGTTCTAAGACAGCAAGAACGTATCGAATATCTTACAAAAATCTTTCTACCAAAGTGGTTAAATGAATAAACGGTTGGCACTTCAAGGATTAAAAGTAACTTTTTTCCTTGAAATTGCAGTCACATAAAGATCTTGTTCCCCATGATGCTTTATAAAAGAAATATTACCATATTATGTAACCGATTTTATATTATGTCAGTGATAATGGCTTCTGTCTGAAACCTGATCTTAGATGGCCTTTGGTAGAGATGACAGAATCTCCTCCTCAGGTGACTCAATCCTGATTGGTGTTCCAGGGCCACACACTCTTATTTCCAAGTTCAGTCTTGTCTTTTGCCTTTTAAACGGTAGCTAGTCTTAGCAGTTCCTACTCCAATGCTACATGTCATGTTATCACTTAGTGCTTACGATATGTTGGCACTGTGTACCCTGTATCCTCTAGAAATTGGTCAAAACAGTTTTACAGTGTAAATACCCTAGTTTCAAACTAGTGGTAACTTGGATTCATTTCTACTTCATAATAAGACTTGCTATTAATACTAAATGAAAAAATTGTTTTTTCTTAAAGCAATTTATGGCAATTAAAATGGTTCTTTAAAATGGAGATGAAACTGTTTTCAAAAAACAAGGTTTGCCCATTACCAAATTATAAAAATATTTGGATAGGATTTTCTGCTTTCATGTAAAACTAGTTAAAAGTGTCGAGAAGTCTGGTTTTGGAAAATAGGCAGAATTTAGTTGGGATCTTTAAATCTAAATATCTACCAAGTCCTTCAAAACTGACTTATTTTTTTTAAAGTAATTCTTTAAATATGGTTATAAGGATTCTCTGGCATATTTCCATTGAATTAAATTTTTAGAAAAATTGCAAGTAGTGCATATGTACTTGAAAATTGTAATTAGTTTCTCTCTTTAAAGTTGCATTTTTAATGTAACTCTTATGTATTTCAGAATGCAATGAGAGCAACGATGGAGCATCACGCCGACAAAGGTGTTTACCCGCCTATTCAAGTCCATGTCACACTGGGTAATGAGGATTTGACTGTGAAGGTAAATGCTGTTCTTTGTTTGTTTTTTTAAATTGATGTACAGGCATACACATATTTTCTAGAAGACAATTTATTCTTAGGAGAAAGCAATTCTGTAACTAATTGATAATAAGCACATTACTTCATTTATCTGGCAGGTTATGGAATATTCCCTTGAGTCTGTTTCTATTCTGGTCCTTCATCCAGATGATTCAAGTTAAAGTAAATCCTGGAGACAGACAGTTTAGCAGGATCGTGAATGTCCACTTTGGTACCTACTTTGATAAGTAAAATCTAAAATATTTGGGTATTTGTAGTGTTATGTAGATAGTACATAATTTTTCATTTTTAAACAGTGCTTTTTAATCTACTTTTGTTTCATTTGATTTTCATAGCAAATTTTAGTTAGGAGCAAAGGTAATTTTATTCTCAATTTACAGATACGAAACTAGACACAGTGATTAGTTCATTATTAGATGGCCAATAAATGACACAGGACATGAAATCAGTCTTTTGACCCGAGTGCCAGGCCTTCTCTACTACATTTTTCAGATAGTCCAGTTTCTTAGAGTATGATGATGTTTCTCTCTTTAAAATAGTCGTTTTAAATTTTGTATTAAATTAATAAATGAAGAGTGTATAAAAATCATATATGTCAGGTCCTTGCCGTTTGTAGGTCACTACTCAGAGATAGTCTTTTAGTTATTTCTTCTGGTATTTAGCTAGTTTAAAGTAGTATTCTAATATTGCTGTTTCTGAAATTAGAAAATTTTAAATAGCTGACATCAGCTTTCAGTTATGGTAGCTGAGAAGTTAACTCTCTTAGAGTATCTCCCCTTTCTCCTCCCCCAGCCTCAATTGCCATTTTCCTAGCATTTAAGTTCACACATGGAATTATAGACTAAAAATAATCATCTTGCAGAACTTTTGAAGGCATCTACTGTTCCTTTTTTTCTTAAGTATACAATTCAGTGGTTTTTAGTGTATTCACAAGGTTGTACAACCATACCACTGTCTTAATTTCAGAACATTTTCATCACTCCCAAGAAAATACTCAGTGTTCGTTAGCAGTCACTCCCCATTTCCTCCTCCACCCAGCCTTTAGCAACCACTAATCCACTTTCTGTGTATGGATTTCCCTGTTTTGGACATCTCATAAAAATGCAGTCATACAATACGTGGTCTTTTGTGTCTGCTTTCACTTAGTATATTATAGCATGTATCCATTCCTTTTTATGGCTGAATAATATTATGTTGAATGGGTATAAACATATTTTGCTTATTCATTCATCAGTTGATGGACATTTGGGTTGTTTTCATTTTTTGGTTTTTGTGAATAACGCTGCCATTTGTGTACAAGTCTTCGTGTGAACACTGGTTTTCAGTTCTCTTATGAATATACATACGAGTTGAATTGCTTATAGGTAACTCTGTTTAACTTTTGAGGAATGCCAAACTGCTTTCCAAAGTGACTGTATCATTTTATATTTCCATCAGTAATGAATGAAAGTTCTAATTTTTCCACATCCTTGCCAACATTTGTTATTGTCAGTCTTTTTGATTATAGCCATTCTAATGGGTGTAAGTGATATATATCTTCTTTGAAAAAATGTCAATTAAGATCCTTTGCTCAGTTTTTAAGTGGGTTGTCTTTTTATTGTTGAGCTATAAGAGTTCTATTTATTTATTTTCTATCATAGATGCTAGTTCCTAATGAGATATGTGATTTGCCAGTGTTCTCCCATTCTGTGGCTTATCTTTTCACTTTCATCATAGTGTTCTTTGGAACACAAAGGTTTTAATTTTGAAGAGTTGCAGTTATTCTATTTTTTCTTTTATTGCTTGTGCTTTCCGTGTCACATCTAAGAAGAAACCATTGCCTAATCCAAAATCACAAAAATTTATGCCTTTGTTTCTTTCTAAGAGTCTTATAGTTTTAGTTCTTATGTTTAGGTCTTTGATCTAATTTTGAGTTAATTTTTATAAATGGTTTGAGGTAGGGATCCAGTTTCATTCTTTTGCAGATAGATATCCAGTTGTCCCAGTACCATTTGTGAAAAGACTATTCTTTCTCCATTGAATTTTCATGTCATCCTGGTCAAAAATCAATTGCTTGTAAATGTATAGGTTTATTTCTGGATTCTCAATTCTATTCCATTGGTCTATATATCTCTCCTTAAGCACATTTTGATTATTATTGTTTTGTTGTAAGTTTTGAAATTGGCAAATGTGAGTCTTCAAAATTTGTTCTTCTCTTTCAAGGTTGTTTTGACTATTGTGGGTTCAGTGCATTTTCATAAGAATTTTAGTATCAGCATGTCAATTTCTGTAAGAAACACCAACTTGAATTTTTATGGGGATCATGTTCAGTGTTTTAGATCAATTAAGTCTACCACTTCATGAACAACAGGATGTCTTTCCACTTATTTAGATCTCTTTAATTTCTTTCATCAGTGTTTTATGATTTTCAGTGTACAAGTCTAACACTTATTTTGTTAAGTTTATTCTTAATTATCTTATTCTTTGGGGGGCTATTGTAAATGGAATTGTTTTCTTCATTTTGGGATTGTACATTGCCAGTGTATAGGAATATAATTGATTTTTGTGTACTGATCTTGTATCCTGCAACCTTGCCAAACTCATTTATTAGTTTTCATAATTTTTTTGTGAACTCCTTAGGATTTTCTATACATAAGATCATGTCATCTGTAAATAGAAATAATTTTACTTCTTCCTTTCCAATCTGTTTTTTTTCCTTGCCTAATTGTGTGGCTATAACCTCCAGTACAATCTTGAATACAACAGGTGTCCTTTTCTTTTTACTTATCTTGGGAAAGCTTTCAGTCTTTTTTTTTTTTTTTTTTTTTTTTTTTTTATACAACAGGTGTCCTTTTCTTTTTACTTATCTTGGGAAAGCTTTCAGTCTTTTTTTTTTTTTTTTTTTTTACTTTTATATGATGAACTGTTTTGTTTTAAATTATTTTTGTCATTGTGTCGTCTTTGCTGCACACGGGCTTTCTCTAGTTGCAGTGAGTGGGGGCTATTTGTTACAGTGTGTAGGCTTCTCATTGAGGTGGCTTCTCTTGTTGCGGAGCATAGGCTCTAGGTGTGCGGGCTTCAGTAGTTACGGCATGTGGGCTCAGTAGTTGTGGCTCTCAGGCTCTAGAGCGCAGGCTCAGTAGTTGTGGTATACAGGCCCACCTGCTCCACGGCATGTGGGATCCTCCCGGACCAGGGCTTGAACCTGTGTCCCCTGCATTGGCAGGCGGATTCTTAACCACTGCACCACCCGGGAAGCCCCAGAGCTCAGTTATTAAGTGTATATATGTTTATAATTTTATATCTTCTTGATGTGTTGACCCTCTGTCATTGTAAAATGTCCTTCTTTGTCTCTGTTAACAATTTTTGACCTGTAGTGTATTTTATCCAATATTAGTATAATATCCCAGCTCTCTTTTGGTTTCTGTTTTCATGGCGTATGTTTTTCCAGACTTTTTTACTTTGAACCCGTTTGCATCTTTGAATCTAAAACATGTCTCTTGTAAACAGCATATGGTTTGATCATTTTTTTTTAATCCATCCTGCCAATGTTCACCTTTTAATTGGAGTGTTCAAGCCAGTTACATTTAACATAATAATTGTTAATGTAGAATTTACATTTGACATTTTGTCATTTTTTTCTATATATCTTGTGTCTTTCTTGATCCTTTATTTCACCATTACTGCTGCTTTTTTTGTTAAAATGATACTTTTTAGTTTATCATTTTAATTTCCTTCCTGTTTTTTTAAATTATATTTCTTTGAGTTATTTTCTTAGTGGTTGTCCTGAGATTATAATTAACATTTATTTATAGCAGTCTAGTTCAGATTATATACCAACTTAATTTCAATAGTATACACAGACTTTGATCCAGTATAGGTCTGTTCCCTCACCCTCCCCATCCTTTGCGGTGTTATTGGCATATATGTATACATATCTTTATACATTGTATGCCCATCTACACAGATTTATAATTATCTCTCTGTGCAGTTGTCTTTTAAATAATACAGGAGAAAAAAATTATGAACAAAAAAATACGCTTAAACAATCCTTTATATTTATCTATGTGGTTACCTTTCCTGGTGCTCTTTATTTATTCATGTGGATTTGATTTACTGTCTATTGTTCTTTTATTTTAGGCAGAAGGATTCCCTTTAGTATTTCTTGATAGGGGAGGTCTACCAATGATGAACTCGGTTTTTGCTTATCTGAGAATGTCTCAATTTCTCCTTCATTTCTGAAGGATAATTTTACTGGCTATGGAATTTTTCTTTCTATATTCATTTCTTTGAATATGTTAATCCTACTGCCTTTTGGCCTTCATGGTTTCTGATGAGAAATGAGCTGTTAATCTTTTTAGAATCCTTTGTGTGTGATGAGTCACTTTTCTTGCTGCTTTTAAGATTCTTTATTCTTGGCTTTTGACAGTTTGATTGTAATCTGTCCAGGTATGGATCTCTTTGAGTTTATTATACTTGGAGTTTGAAGAGCTTCATCTTTTTCATCAAAATCAGGAAGTTTCAGCTATTATTTCTTCAAATATTCTTTTGTCCCTTTCTCTCTTTCTTCCTGGAATTCCCAATATGTGCATGTCAGTACACTTGATGGAGGCCCACAGGTGTTTTTGATGCTTTTTTTTTCTTTTTTTTTCTGTTTCTCAGATGGCATGATTTCAGTTGACGTGTCATGACTATTGATGATTCTTTCTCACAAGTGTTTAAGTCTGCTGTTGAGCCCTCCTAGTGAATTTTTTTGTTTTGGTTATTATACTTCTCCAGAATGTCTATTTAGTTCTCTTACATAATTTCTATATTTTTTTATTGCTATTCTTTATTTGGTGAGACATCATCCTCATACTTCTTTAGAAATGATTTCCTTTAGTTCTGTGAACATATTTAAAATAGCTGATTTGAAGTCTTTGTTTAGTAAATTTGAGTTTCCTCAGGTATAGTCTCTCTTGATTCCTTTTTTACCCTTGTGTA